ACCACCTGGCCTCTCTGTTTGCTGATGGTATGTGGGAAAAAAGAAGTGGAAGTTCTGCAGTAAGTCGCTTCGTCCCACACGCCCATTGCCAGCCGGGTCCAAAACTCGGAATATTTGGCCAACAAGCTCTTCTTCACGACCCACATTGCATTTCTGCAGCATTTCGAACAGCTCCTGCGGTGTGATGTGTTCACTGAGGCCTTCGAGAGCTTGAACATCCTCTGAAGATGGCGCAGCGGGCCCATCTTGGAGCCTCTCCGGCGCCTGACCTGGCACGAATTGAACATCACAATGTTGTGTATGTCATCGTCCCTCATACTCCAATCAACGCGGAAGCAACTAGTACCAATGGAACCCAAAACCTACGAATTTGTCGTGTCTGATGGAAAACATCGTGTTTGGGCTCCACTTGACTAAAAACATTGTGTTTCTGTCGAAAACATCATTTTCCCAAAAGCACTAAGTTTCGAACCCGTATAAAAACCGTAGAAAACCCGTAGAATCCCGTAGGCAATCGTATCGTTTTGAGGAAGTCAAAAAACCTCGTGTTTTCATTAAAAACCTCGTGTATTTTCAGGGTATGACATTTTTAGGAGTTCTTGGTTCTCTAGGATATAACTAGACTGCAAGTTGACAAAGTTGGAAGCTATTGGGCTCCATACCGTGAGTGGGCTCCATCCCCACGTCTCGTTTGGGGCCGGCCGCATTTTCGTGACAGGCCTATTGGTCACGAAACTGCAGTTTTCCCTTTCAACGTCTTGCAACACTAGTAGCTTCTTGTTCCTAGTAGTATGGCCAGGAGCCCCTAGTAGAGTCCTTGTTCCTAGTAGCGATGCCCTTTGCTCCTAGTAGCGTCCTCTTCCTGTGGTACCTTGTGGTAACTTTTCTGCTTGCTGATGATGGTGTGGGAATGATCTCCTCATGATGGTGTCGAAGGTTGGTGGGCCCAAAGGTCTTATACAAGCGCAAAAAAATGAATTCCGCACCAGGTTCGATTCTGGTCCTGGTTGCACATCAATCACAAAGAGTCCAAAGGGGAGTGGTGAATGAGTAGCTTTTGCAGCCAAGTCTATGAGCCCAAAACTCTTTATATAGATGAGCTGATGAGCTAGCTGGTGGTTTGGTGGATTCTCATGCAACTCGCTGCCAGTAAACAACCCATGGGAAACATCAAAGAATGCGATGGTATATTCACTAACCTGGAGCTTTTACGGTAGCCGATTTGTTTGATGAAAAAGGACCACCCCTGCTGATGACATGCAACTGCCTGATGTCCGTTGGGTTTCTTGTTCTCAACTTGACGGGCTGACTCCCTATCTTTGTCTTTAACTGTGTGAATGGCCTGTGAACCTCGACATCCCCAACATGCCAGCACTGCAACAACATGTGCCAACCTTCCGACCCCAGTGCCTTGCAAAGATTGTAGAGAGCGAAGTGTCTTCAATGACAGTTGCCCATCTCCATCCAAGTCAAGCTTAGCAAACGCTTCTTTTGCTGTGCCCTCCTCAACGTTGAGGTGCAGGGCGGAGAGCATTTTCTGAAACTCCCCGAATGTCAGCTTGCCATCACTGTCTGAATCGAACATCTGAATTAATGCCTCCACACTAACCTTCTTTCTCTCCTGGATGGTCTGCAGCACCTTCAGCACATCTGCAACAGAGTCCTCCCCTGGAAGCGTTTGATGTGGGAGTCCTTGGCTTGGTTGGGCAGACTGTAGCGCATTGAGTGTATTCAGCGAAAGTTGCCCATCTCCATCCAAGTCCAGCTTTGCAAACACTTCTCTTGCAACGCTCTCCTCTGCATCAATGGACAAGGTACCGAGCAATGCCTGAAACTCAGCATATGTGAGCTTGTCATCACCATCGGAATCAAACAGCCGTATCAACGTTTCCACACTTAATTTCCTTTCCTCCTTGATGGCCTGAAGCGCTTTCAGGACTTCTGCCACAGAATGTCCGCTAGGACTGCTAGGACGTGTCTCATTTGACGTCCTCTGGCCAGATTGCAGTTGACTGAGTGTCCTCAAAGAAAGTTGCCTGTCGCCATCAACGTCAAGGTGCCGAAAGACTTCTCGGGCAGTACTCTCATCCAAATCAAGAGACAAGGCATTGAGCATTTTCTGAAACTCAAGAAATGTAAGCCGGTCATCCCCATTGGAATCAAACTGCCTCACCAATGTCTCCACGCTTAGGTTCTTTCTCTCTTTTACTGCCTGCAACACTTTCAACACCTCTGACACTGAAGGCTGCATGGCATTCCATAGTTCTGTCAAAGTGATTTTTCCGTTTCCATCTTGGTCGATGAAGTCAAATATCTTCTGGGTAAGATCATCGTCAGCTTTGATTCCAGCCTTGGGCTTTGTTTTGACAAATCTCAGTGTTACACGAATCGCACACCAAAACCTTTACGCAAAAAAGATCAAAAAAGTGATCGTGCACCCAGACTCAACAAGTTACTGCTGCCTTGAAGAACAAACTCCGCACATGGGGCAATTACCAAACCGAGGCACTGCCAACAGAACTTTAAAGAGCTCGGCCTTTGACAATGTTCCATTGCCATTTGCATCGCCAATGGCGTGCAAATCCTTGACTGAGATGCGGCCTGTCAGTCGCAAACGTCGCAACTTTGACATTGCAGCTTCTGGACTCACCATTGGACGTTTAGCATTTGGAGACAGGGCTGTTAGCCCAGCTGCCGGCGACGCTTCTGGCTCAAGGTCATCAAAGAGTTCATTCAGGGTGCCTTGCAGGTGTGTTTGGCCAGGACTCACCGGTGAACCGCGGGAAGCTCTGGCAGACGGTGAAGAAGAAGGTCTCCGAAGTGGCATGCGGGTGAGTTCAGGAGAGCTCATCGATCGCTTTGAGCCTGGAGAACCCTTGCCTCGACGGTCCGGCTTTGGGATCGAGCTTGCGGCGCTGGCTAGAACTTCGGAGCTCATGGCATGGCTGCCTGCAGTGCTTGGAGGCATGTATCAATAGATTAAATTTGGAGTGTTCAGTTTACATTATATACTTTACTACTAGGAGCAAGAACGCTACTAGGGGCTCCTGGCCGTACTACTGGGAACAAGAACGCTACTAGTAGCAAAGGGCATCGCTACTAGGAGCAAGAACGCTACTAGGGGCTCCTGGCATCGGGAACCACCCTGTCACCTCTGAAGTTGTTCAGTGGGGCATTCACACAAGGTCCCGCATGCCTCCCAAGTGATCCAAGGCATGCTGCAGGTCTGTGTGAGAAACCTGCCTGTCACCATCCAGATCAATTTGACGCACTATCTCTCTGACCACCCCAGAATCCAAATCAAAGCCCAAACCGTCAAGAAGTCGGTGAAACTCACCAGCGGTCAGCACATCATCCGAATTGGAATCATAAGGCCGGATCAGTTCAGACACTGTAAGGCGTTTCTTCTTCTTGACCAGCCGCACTTCCCTCAAAACGTCAGTTGGTGTTGGTGCAAGAGCAGTCCACAGTTCCAACCACGAAATCTTGTGGTTGCGATCCATGTCCAGTTGTGCAAACGCTTGCTGAACAAATTCATCACCTGCTTTGATACCAACCTGTAGGGGTGCACCGGACCCCCAAAACAATCTCTAGTACAACCGTACAACCAAATTGAGTACAGTAATTACAACATGCTCTGCGTATGTGCGTTCTCTCTCTCTCTCTCCCACCCACGCACACACCGCATATCATCTTATGTGTTTCAAAGCTGTCGTTGCCGGCTCCCGGCTTCGAAGCCGGAATCCGCCAAAGCCTTGCCTTGTGCAACAAGAGACGAAATTCCGCAATGGTGAGCTTTCCGTCAGGCTGGCTCTTCGTGAGATCCTGCACATCAGTCACTCGTATCCCGTGCCGCAGTCGCAATCGCTTCAGGTTCGCCAGGATTATTTCTGGCGCCACATGCAGATCATCCGGTTGTTCGGATTCTCGAAGGTCTGCGAAGACCACGTGTACCACGTCGGGCAAATACTCACCTGCTACAGTAGTAGTTGCCAAGCTGCAAAAAAGAACACTTGTTGATCGACACGGTGCAACCAGCAAGAGTGAGACAAAGAAAAAATCAGAAGCAAACACACCTCTGACTCAGAATCAACACATATGAACACCAAATGGCTTCCCAATGGATCTGGAGAAGCATCTGGCGATTTCCTCCGGCTGGAAGGGCTGGCATTTCTGGATCTGCCGGTTCCCCCAGCGCTCTGCGGCCGCCGAACTCCTCCTGTGTAGGCTGTTCCACTGGCTCTGCGTGCCTTCAGTGGCAATGGGTATCAGTTCATTTCAGTTCCCGTTACCAGTGACTCCAGGTCTTAAATGGTCTTAACAGTGCTTAGAATCTAGAGTCACTTGAATCCAAAGGTGAATGGGAGTAGCATGAATGGAGTCAAAGTCATCATGCCATGATTTCAGATTGAGGATGATTGAGGGTTTGCCAAGCTTGCCCTGAGGCCACGACTTCTGGCCGCTTCGCCGGCTTGGCCTTGGATCTGGATGCTCGTGGCGCATCGTTTCCAACCACGAGCAAATCAGAGCGAAAACGACCAGCGCTGTCTGCATGAGACCGAGCAGATGCACCAGATGCGCCAGGGTAGGGGGCTGTGTGGCTGGACCCGAATGCCACAGGCATCAGCCCTGGCTCCCTCTGTCCATGGCCCAGCGCCGAATGAAACTAACACTGAGCCAAAGAAGGCTTTGAAACAAGAAGCACATGTTCTCCCCAAAGCCCAGCCACCAGAAGATGAACACCTCAGAGCGGCAACCCTTAATTACTGGACATCTAAACTTGCCATGGGTCGGTATGTAATTAGTAATTAGCAATAATTAGCATATATTAGCATTGGCTAGTCAAATGCCTCATCTCCTTCAACAAAGAGCTCTCGCAACTTGACCCGGTACCGGCAATTGAAAACAGTATCACTCACGGTGATAAGAGTGCGACATGTGTTGTCGGAAACCCATCACACACCCACTTCCCTGCACTGAGATGTTGAAGGCGCGCAAAGTTTCAAGCGGTGGAATCCAGCATCTGCCAAAAAAAGAGTCCATGCCCAGAGGGCTAGAAGGAATTTTCCTCTCGAATTACATTGGTCAAAATATCAACAAAGTTCTCTTCTTCACCCGACCTTTCAGCTATTTGAACTGGCCCAACTTTGCAAAATAGCCTTCGTCTTCCTCAGCGGTTCCGAACCTGACAGGATCTGGTCCTAGCAATCCAAGCTGTGTGCAGCTTGCAGTCTCAGCGGAAGAGCCAGTTGTCCTCCTGTAGTCTATGTAGGGCTGCGCATGTTGCACGGTGTAACACCAGCTGGGTGCCAGCACAAAGTGCTCGCTGCCGTGTCTTGTACGAGGTTCTAGCAAGGCAACCTTTGCCCGCAACAGCATGCATTGCTCATTTGACCAAACCAATGGGTCGAGCACTGCTGTCAAAAGTGGCACGACGCCAAGATGCCGCTGGCAAAGCATCAGCCAGCTTTGAACAGCTTTGGCTTCGTGTTCAACAAAACTCATCACGTTCCATTTCTCAGGAATGAATCTAATGACTCGTTTGACCAACCGTCTGCACAGGCTTGCACTTGTGATAGAGCATCACGTAAATCAAGTGGCAAGCGCTCTGTAATCTCCAAAGGCTCACCAGCACTATTGAAAAAGACTAGGCGATGTCGGTGGAGGAAATTTCGAGGACACCACGTGCAATCCCTTTGAAAGGTTGCCGCACTGGAGTACTTGCCATCGCAAACAATGGGGTGCCCGACGTGAGCTGAATGGGCCTTGTTTTTTGTGCTTTTCATGGTAGATATGGCAAGACAAAAAGAATCAAAAAGATGTGGTACTAGAAAAACCGTCTAGAGCGACGATACGCGACGTATCGAAAGCTAAAAGCTGAACACTTGTTTCTGTCGCTATGAATTATGTCTTGTGTTGGAACTTGTGTTGACCCGGGTCCGCCCTTGAACCACCATGGGACATGTGTGATGTGCATAGATCACGTACCCTTCTAGTCGGGTGGCTTCTGTTGAGTTGGTAGGAACTGTATTCAAAGGCGTACCCAGATCACCACCGTTCACGAGCTGAGTTCACTCAGCGGGACCCTCACTTTGGAGGTGCACCTACGAATGCGTGTCCCTCTGAGGATCAGAAGGATTCGAAAGGGTGTGCGAGCGAACACCGGCCTGACATGGCCTCAAGCAGGGCTCTGCGGTCGCAGGATCCCTTCGTCATCCCATCAGCTCGCATATCGCGAGTGTCCACCCAAAGAAGTGCCGAAATGATGCCTGTGCTCTTAAGTTCTTTAATCCAATGGATATGGCCTAGGAGAGATTTTTCTGCCGGATACTTACCACTGGAATTTTTGATTGAGTGATATACACTTTTGGCATCTATCATGATTACAAGTTTAGTTTTAAAGCCACCTTCCTCCCTCATCCTCAGGAGTCGTTCTGGTCTCATGGGTCCATGGATGAGTTCTTCAAAAGTGACCAAATACAAGAATGCATGATCCGTGGCTCCAGTGAGAGCCAACAATTCAGCACTAAACGTAGAGCGCACCACCAGTCTTTGCGACTGAGTGGTTGCATCTATCAGGTGGAAGCGCTTCGAACCATCGTGAAGAATCCCTTCACGAAGCACGAGAGAACCTTTCATGCTGTAACCCTTGGTCGCATCACCTTCTTTCGTGAAGGATGCATCCGAGAACAACCACAAATCTCCTGTCGCTTTCATGGTTGGATAGACAAGTTTCTGTGGCCTTCTCTTCAATTCACGGGTCAAGCTGTTAAGCCGTTTTACATGAATCACTTGTGGAGCATGTGTCACACGTTGAAGTGCTACAATGTATACGGCCACCCAAGCTTGCGTAAGACTCGTGTAGGCTACAGCCCCTAGAAGGCTCCAGTATAGCGCCTGTAGTGTTGGTGGGCATTGATCGGTCGGCTTCAGGTGTTGATAGTGCTTAGGATTAATCGGGATAAAAGCTGAAATATATTCATTTTGATCCATTGAAATCGTTCCGGAGTGGTCACGTTCATGATTAATGCCACAATTCATGAACTTGTTTTCGTTGACTGTGAGTTTTCCGAAATGCTTTTCAACCTCTTTCATGAACTTTTCAACTTCAACTGGCTCACCAGCAATTTTAAGATCATCTACGTGCTTAGACACTACCATCACTACTTCATCATTCCTTATTAATACTTCGAGTTGTGGGTCATACGAGCAGGGTTTCAAACCACAAATACCTTGGGTTATCTGGGCTAGTCTTAGTGAAAATGCCTTAGGCGCGTCCCTACAACCAGTTCCAGGCTTGAGGCACATCAAACACTCCGTGCGCTCGTTGAAGTCTTCATAGCCTGGGATCTGCCTCAAGTGCCTAGCTGTCCCTGCCGGCGCCGTGAAAGACAGATGCTTCTCTGGTTCACCTGTAAGCTGGTGAATTTCACTAAAGCTAGCACCCTGCAAGAATGCTTTGGACACATCCGCCGAAAGAAACCGCCAGTGCTTGTTGCACGCGGCAAGGCTCAAAAGGGCCTTCTGAGATGCACGATGAGCAGTCCCTGAGTAGTTCTGCTCTTCAGGTCCGTGTGGTTCGCGAAAGCCTCGCAAAGCCATCCGCATTCTGATGCCACGGACTCCATCTTTGGACCTGCTGTGGACGATGGTGCTGTTGCCATGGGTGCTGTAGTTGGCGGAACCGGTGTTGGTGCTACAGTCGGTGCTATTGGCGTCGCGACAGTTGGTGCACTTGGGGTCGTGGTCATATCAGGTGGTGCACTCGAAGACGCGGTCGAAGCTGTCGCTCTTGGATCGCCAGTAACATAGACACCGGATGGCTGAATTTCCACCTCCGACAGGAGGTTGTAGGAGACTCCGGACTTGCCAACTCCATGTGCAGCTTGAAGTTGGGAGAAGGCATCAGTCCTGAAGACGAGGTGACCGCTCGGCGCGCAACTCAACGGGATGTGCATCGCGCCGGGGCCCCACGAGACCTGATACCCCTCCGGCCCTGGGAAGGTGAGGAGCTCATGGCCTTCCCTCATCTCAAGCACAGCACCTCGTCCTGTCAAGGACTTCAGGCCAAGCAATGCAGGAAGATCTTCGCCAGGACCATCAACAACTGGTGCCTCGAAGGAGAAACGAACGGCTTCTCCTGCACCCGGAGCGAGAGGTCGATCTGACCCGTCCTGCGGTCGAATCACACGAGGGACAGCCACCGGGACATTGGTGGACTTGGTGCAGCCCTGCGTGCCATTGCCGACACCTCGAATCACCATGGGATTGGGCATGTCGGACTGATAAGACCTATGGCCGTACTCTCTTGCTGCTTCCGCTTGGCGTGTTGCCCACTTCCTGCCACACAGGTTTGTGTATGCGCCTGGATCAACAATGATGCTTGAACCACCTGCCAATTGGGTTTGAGCATGATACACTCCTTCGGATGCATCCAGCCACCACGGCCAAGCCTGTTGCTCGGGTGTTCCAAAGCTCTCTTCCTCTGGCGGGTCACGATGGCGTGGCGTATGCTGTGCATCAACACTGACATACCTGAAGTTCGCAATGACATTGCCGGCTCCTCGGCATGTGGGACACTCTGGCTGCTCTTCACGGACTAGCAACTCGGTCCAACAAGTCTCATGGAACAGGTGCCTGCAGCAAAGACGAACTAACGGCTCTGCATTTGCGAACTCCTCTTGGCAGATGGTGCAGGTGTCAACTGAGCCATCAAAACCATCAAAACGTGAGTGGTTGGATGTCTCACGAGAAGTGGCGGACGGGACAGGAATCTCATGAACAGGCTGTGGCTCGACAGTGCGAAGGGCTGCACGGACTCTTGATTCAAGATCTCGCCTTTCCTTCTGTCTCCGCTCAAGCTCTAATGCATTCAAGGTCTGTCCAACTACCTGAAATGGCTGCAGTGACACGGCTTGGTTTGGATCGACGGACACGATTGACTCTTCACCTTGAGGTCGTTGGGATGGCTCCATGTTCAACAGCAGGGACGTGTCATGGATATCTGAGATTATCTGACTTTGATACCTATCCAATGAACTTACGACGTTCTGCTGAATCGGATGCACGAACTCAGGTGGTGGCATTGGCATTGAGCCCAAGACGAATTGGAACTCTGGCATGTTGGCCCACAACGGGACTGAGGGCACTGGCGTGTCACGACGATCAGTTTGATGTCGATCTGGTTGGATTGGTTGTCGATCTGGTTGTACTTCTTGAGGTAAAAATCCTGCGTCAGCTGGTTGTTGTGGCAATGCATCATTCTGTTGAGAACTGGCGGGCGAATTGCTTTGGGGACGTAATGGAAAAGGTCGGAATGTTGTATTCGGGGCCAATGGATTATGTGCTGACATGGGTGTCGCAGGGATGGTCCATGATGTGGTTGTGGATGGAGCCTGCCATGACATGACTGACGGGGCCGCCGTCTGGAACGAAGGCATCTGAGGCATCTGTGGTATGTGTCCTTGGTACGAATGCGATCGAGTCGGTCCGTACGAGGTCGGCTGTCCCTGTGGCATGGGATACGACTGCGAGCTCCACGGATCGTTCTGTTGCAATGGATCGGCTTCTTCAACCATTAAGAACGTACCACTGATGATTCCAGGGGGGAGATCATGTGCTGCTTGGCTACTCAATGGTGCATGCGTTTCAATGAACAATGTGGTGTTGGATTGAGATCGTTGTGGGCACTTGTTCACAAGATGTTCGGCGCTACCACACTGATGGCATTTCATGACCTCTCCATTCTTGCCCCGGGGATTGCCTCTTCTGCCCTTGCCCTTACCGGACGACTTGCGCCAATTGCGGCCTTTGGCCATGGGGAACATTGATGCAACTTCATGGTCGGACAATGATGCTAGATACGCACCGGCATTTTGGCTTGTGGATTGAATCTTAGCCTTACCCTTACCCTTACCCCCTTTCTTTCCCTTGCCACCCCTCTTCAAGAACCTACGAACTCTCCGGGTGGGCTTGTTCATGTGCGACCGCCAAGCCTGCTTTGCACGGCTATACGCCCACCAAAGACGATGCGTTTCGGATTCCGGCCTGGCGAACTCCTCTGGCATGTCCTCCTCATGAACAGGGGATGTGTTGGATGAGGTGTCACTATCTGTACACGAATCATCATCGGCATAATATGCTGCTGGGGTGTCATACGAATATGGGGAAGGCTGATACGATGACGATGCATCATTGGCTGGCATTGCAGGATAATGTTCAAAGTTCGACCATGACATGTCCTGGAACTGATCTGGGCTTTGTGCCAAATTCTCACCAAAATATGTCTGATTGAACCTTTGGTTGGGTCGGTTCATCGAAGATGCTACATTGCCTGGTGTCCTCTCAACAATGTGGCCCATTCGACGAAGTGCTGACTTTAATGCCTCCATGCCTTGATCATCTGCTGGCAGGTTCCCATTCAATGGCGGTGTCGCCAAGAGATTCAACAACTGATGTTCTGAAACTCCTACCGCCCTGAGAAGCAACCAACTGAGGCCTTGGGGTGACAGGACAAGATTGCCATGCTCTTGAGCCTTGATCCTAGCACCATCGAACCTCTGCAACAAGGCGTCGATCCTCTCGCCCGAATGCCTATCGAACGAAAGCAGGCCTTGGATGGCCTCGAGACGCTGTTCCTCACCAAGCCTTGCATACCTTTGGGCAAGCGAATGCATGATGAAGGTCACCGAGTCCACTGCCTGGCCATTGATCACGCCTCCATTCAAGATCACTGCTGGAGGGATCGTCCTGGCAAGCTCTCTGGCATTGCCAGTCAGCACACTGAGAAGCGCTGCTGCCTTCCGGCCACCATCCCATTCGCTCATGATGCTCCACAGAAGCACATCACGGCTCCAATGGACGAAGGGATAGTTGCTTTCAAGCTCAGGCCCCCAGCTTGGTGGCAGCTTGGGGTTGCGAGAGGAACCAAATCCGGGATGCATGAATCCGAGAACACAGCATGGGGCAACCGCTGCCAAAGATGCAGCCACATACTGGATCAAGACGATGCTCCTATCAAAGATTCCAATCGGCATACGTGTATTCATCAGGCGGCGTCCGACAAGATCCTCTTCGGGAGATGAGCTGGACGCCAACAGCGTACTTTCAACAATCCCTCTGATCTCTTCCGAGATGGAGATTGAAGCGTTTGATGAATTCCAAGCACTCGAATTCGACAATGCATCCTTGTGTCGGGCCTTCAACCACCGCTTGCGTCGCCTCCTCTTGAGTTCAGCGCTCCGAGAACCCTTCCGAGACGATCGAGTCTTAAGGCTGGCCCTATGGTAGGAGCGAAGCTTAGGATCTTGCGCTCCCTGCTTGCGATCCTTCCGCTCTGGCGGTGAGTCCCGCTTTGGCAGCGAATCCGAGAGGCTCGAGTCTGGCCGTGCCTGGTCCGGCCGAAATGGACCAGACACGGCCGAGCTCGAGGTCACATTCACTTCCAAGCTCTGTGCAACAGGTGGGGTACGGCCTCCCCCCAACAAGATCACAAAGACAAGCGAGAACATCATCGCGCCGGCTCGGGTGAAGATAAGCATGGTGGTCACCTAGCTAGATAGATGCTATATCTTGATATGGATGGATCGTGACCTAGTCAACCCGAAAAGGAGATGCAAGTCAGGGTGCCCTGGATCTGCCTACGCCGGGGTTACCGGCTCCGCTACCAACTAGAAAAACCGTCTAGAGCGACGATACGCGACGTATCGAAAGCTAAAAGCTGAACACTTGTTTCTGTCGCTATGAATTATGTCTTGTGTTGGAACTTGTGTTGACCCGGGTCCGCCCTTGAACCACCATGGGATATGTGTGATGTGCATAGATCACGTACCCTTCTAGTGTGGTAAGCTAAGCCACGTTTAGAGTACTACTGCTTGGCTTAGCCTTTACATGCTTTTACCATGTTGCAAGTCGCCAACAAGTAACCCCATTCAGTGGCGCTCCATCAAGCCCAGCATGCCTAGCCCCACAAAAAACACCGGACCAAAACTTTGCCTACTGCGTCCAAACCACTCTGATCTGATGTGTTCGGCCTGTCCAAATACGCACGCGCATCAAGCTCAAAGCATCACCTGTGTCTGGTTTGATACATCGAGCTAGTAGGAACAAAGATGTTCTGGATGGTTTGCCTTTGCCCACATAGCTTGGGGCACCCAGCTGAGAGCTGATGGAATACTCCAAGTGCGTCTCCGTCTCCGGGGTCCAGGGCGCCCAACCGTGGCAAAGCGCCAGATACTCCCGACAGATTTGCCCAGACTGCAGCTGGAACTGCAGGTCATAGAAAGCTTGGTATGTCTTGGCCGCCAAGACTAAACCAGATCCTGGCACATCCAAGCGATGAATGAAACCGTAATGGAAATCGTCATCCAGCCAAATGGGCGGCGACTTTGATACTGAACATCTCAAGAAAACACTGAGGCTCCGAACGTGTCCCACATCGTTGTAATCTTTTCGTTTCTCCTCGACTTCCCATCCAGCCGGCTTACAAACTGCCACACGATCCCAAAGATCCAAAGAAACATGTGGTTCAAGACTCGTTCGGTCACCACTACCATCATGGATCAAAGATATGATGGCATCTTGCTTCTTAGCCTCTCCATCCAGGTGTCTTCCATGACTCAGTAGGATGGACTTTGCCATGTCAAGTCGTGGGTCTGTGACTTGGAGGTAGTGCAATGCCCAGGTTAATGATAGAATAGTTGAGGGATGATGTCCGAAATCCGCACTCAACCAATAAGCATCCACAACAACCAAGCACTCGATTTTGCGCTTCACAACAGCAAAGGACCAACATAAATTAGCCGCTTCTTGTGCTTTGAATTCTGAGATCCTTCTTGAAACAAATTCTCGCACTTGCTCCCACACACCCGGATTGGACAAGTGCTCCGCGGCCAAAGCCCAGCAAAAATTTGTGACATTTTGGGGGTTGAAATCGTTGAACATTCTCTGAGCTTGTGCTTCTAGCACTTGCATGGTTGGCTTTGTACTTATGTTCAGCTTCACCAAGGCCCAAGCAATGTTAGCGACCTCTTGTGGCTTGCACACAGGACTGATTCTGCTAGCAGTTGCCACTATGACTTCAGGTGTAGAAATCAAGTCCGTCATCTGCCTAGCAGGGTGGCTGGCAGCAATTCAATTGACACGAGAAAGTATTCATGTCAAAACGGAGGACATAGAGCCACTAGGCTCCGTAGACGCGCCGCCATTAGCAAATCCTAAATTCCGAGAGTAATTATGAGGTGGTGGCAGTTGAAAAACCAAGCCCTTTTGGTGCGAGATGCATATGAGCAACGGCCCAAAGAAGATTGGAAAAACTTCGACTTGTCAGCTCATGCAGGCCGTCGTCAGAAATGCAAAATGAAACCGCCTCACACATTTCCTTGCTGCGGTCTTCTGAACAACAGCATCGTTCTTTTGGGTTCGGTTCATAAGCTTTCTTTCTAGTTTCACTGCAACATGCTGCAACGTCCCTGCAACCTACCCCATAAGCGTCCAGATGAACACTTGAAAGCTTTTTCCAAGGGACAGAAAAACAGTTTCAAGATGTTTCAAGCACAATAGTCAAGTGACACTTGCGCAATGCAGCTTTGCAAGCGACCACACTATGCTCATCACTTCAGAAGGCTTAAAGGATCTGGAAGGAAGTGGTAGAGCTGTCATGGCCAAGTCCAAAAATGGTTGGTGGGAATGCCGCATGGTGGCAAGGGCCCACAGCAAGTTGGCAACATGTTGTTCTCGCAGTTCACCAAATTTGGCGACCGCCACATCAAACAAAAGCGTGTTGGTTGGCCCGCGTAGGAATAGCAAATGGGCAAAAGACCAAAGCACATTTGACAGCTCTTGCGGGCCCAACTCATGATGGCTAGCAAGGCTCAAAATGCGAGTTTCCAGCAAAGTCCACTGCAAACTGCTGAATGGCTGAGCAGAAGTGTTGGCAGCGGCCCAGATGAGGCTTGACAGTTCTGGTGGTTTATACTCTTGCAATTGTGCTGCAACCATGCTCCAGAAACTGAAACTGTTTCCCCTTGGCCATTTAACCGCAACCTTGGCAAAGGCCCACGTGATATTTGATAGATATCGCGGCGACAACTGGCAGACTCTTGCCTCACACACCCCGCCCAACAACTGCATAAAACTGCTGCTGCCCGAGTGGCGTGCGAAAGCGCAAGACCAAGCGATGCCTGCCAAATCTCTAGCAGCCAAGGATTGAAGCGATTGGGAAGCTGGTCTCTCGAGTTCGGAAGCTAGATCACTCTTCAAACAGCCACTCATGCTCAAAGACCAGAACAAACATCCGAATCCAGCAGGACGTGGCCCCCCGGCAATGCTCTCGCACAAAATGCAGGGCCATTGCTTCCAGCAATGGTGCTCGGGCACTTCTCAAAGTACCCACCGCCCAAAGAACGCATTGCAAGTCATTTCTCTCAAATTTACGCCAAGTACCTTTCAATTCGTCAACACAGCTTGCTTTCAAAGAGCCTGCTTTCGCCTGTGCCCACACCACTGCGGCCAATTTGTTTGAAAAACTGCCGTGGGTGATTGAAAGGACTTGGTCAATGCTCCGCCGACCCATCCTGCAGATTCATGACTGCGAAGTTTGCGCTCCTGCACATTTGCCAGACGTTGTCTGTTCCAATTGGCACTTCATGCCTCAATTCGGGCCCCCTCGGGCCAAATGGCAACTTTGATCGGGCAATATCGGGCAGCATTTTTGGGCCTTGTCCCTCAAAACTTGTCCAGCAAGGACACAGGACGTGCCCTCTGTAGGTCCACCTTAGCTTACTAGCTGTTCCTTGGATTCTCGTGAGGACTTTAGGGCCATGTTCTTCAACACGCACACCTGATCAGCGGCACTCCAGTTTGCCTTCAGCAGTAGGACTGCATGGTAAATTTGGCCTCATCTCTATTAGGCATTCAATGTTCTGTTGGTACTGTATGAACTGTGAAGATGCCCCGCAAGCGCCCAGTACCAAAGGAAAGTTTGATAGGCTGGCATAGGCATAGGGAAAAACAAAACACAATGGCCCCTTAGCTCCTTGTGTTTCAGTGGTGTTTAGGTGTGACAGTCTTGAGCAATTTCAATTTGTCCAATCACTTTCGATCAAAGTATAACACTCGCCCGTGTAAAGCTCATGAGGTCTCTATATTGTGGACCCAACGCTGCCAGCATCAACCAATACACTTTTCCCCTCAGCTACCCGGAGGCTCAACAGGCGGCCGTCTACAAAGCCAAGTCGAGAAGGAACTTAAGGCAACTCCTGTTAGGACCACCGCGTCAACCACAGCAGCTGCAGCCAGCGCAGTCCACAGCTTTCCATTGAAGCTTGCAACAATTGGGCCACTTAGGAGTGCAGTTGTCGCTTGGGATGTTGCGAGAGATGCGTTGAAAATTCCCGTCAACAAACCACGTGTCTCTGCATCAAAGGCGGGTTGCCTCTCCAACCACGCAAACGGCGCATTGGCAAGGACTTGATAAGCAATAGGCATAGCCACAACAACCCATACGACCGCCATCCATTTCAGCCAGGTGGCCGTTTTAGCCAGGCAAAGAACCATGAGTGTTACTGTCATCACCCCAACCGCTACAAACATCCCTGTCCACTCACCTCTACATATGCTCGCCGGGCCCGAGAGATATGGCAGAATTGTACCGGAGGCCAGGAAAACGACAGATCCGTACAATAACCACTGTGTAGCTTGATGCACCGCAGCATCAAAAGCTGATGTCCCAGGTCTTGTGCCCTCAATGTCCGCCCATACGCTTGAGAAGTAAAAACTCCAGGTGCACACTGAGAGCCACCCTGCAAATTGTAACATCCACATTTCCCAGAAGCCAGGGTGTTGGTTGGTGATTTGCCACATGTGTCTCAAACCAGTTGTGCAACTGTTTCCTTCAGCTTCGGGAAGTGGGTCCAGAAGATGCGAGTCTCTGATGTCTCTTTGCTTCGGCCTGGCTGCAAGTTGTGTCAGCGTCACGCCTGCTGCAATCGTCGCCACAACAAGAAAGGCCGCGGTTCTGGAGAGCAGCACTGCACAAAGAATCGCCACTATCTTCGCAACACCAGCCACTGTCGCACTGCGCGACTCCGCTACGTCGGGTGGAAACATGTCGTTCATTTGGGCGCGAGTTGGTGTCACCAACATATCATGGCCTTTGCAAGCTCTCACAACAACAATTCTACCATGGATGCCTGGTTTCTGAGCAAGGGGCTCACATCTGCCATACCAAATGCCAGTATTGCAAGCGCCTCCAGGATTCACGGCAGAACTGTTGAAACAAATCATGTCAAGACATTAAGGGTGCTTGTCAATGATGCTATGTGCACTTTTCGGCCTTGACAGGAAGCAGCGCTATCAATGGAGTAGCCTTGTCGAAACGGTGTGACTGGAGCCTGCTGTGTGTGTACACAATAGTCCTAAAATGCACTATATAAAATAAGGCAGCTGCAATCACAAATGTGAAATGTGACTGTAAGAAGCACGTTCAGCTGGGGCATTGGCCACAAGACCCAGGACGGCAGTTGTGCTGAAAACAAGGATGAACGGTCTCCTGAAGCTGGAAGGCGCCAAAGAACATTGGCTTGCATGATTGAACATGTGTGTGTAACCCTTGGAGTCACAGGGATCCTGACGGATTAGTCTTTTTCATTTGACCTTTTTCAGCAGGGACCATCCATGTGCTGTGAGCGATGGTCCCACGAAGCGGCCACAGTACATGCGGATATCACGGCTGATCACCGTGACGTACCTGCGATGGTTGAACTTTTGAACAAGCTGTGACCCCACTTTCCAGTAAAGGTCTAAGGAGTTCTGCAGACATGAGCGCACGTCGTCAACCTGTCAGTTCGCCGCGTCGTGGAGTTTGACTTCTGGCCGTTGACTACAGGTACTCAGGCCCCCTCTTTGTCTTTTCAGGATTTGGTGTCTTTAGGTTGCCGTGCGGCGAGCGGCATTCGAGCCAGTACGCATTTCTATAAGTGTGTCTCTCCTCAGTGAGAGCCCAGGGTGACCCTGACGAGTGGCCCCTGTGGACCCGTTGAACGGGGGTTTGTCGAACGTACCCCCTGCCCGGATACAGAGCAGCTCGCAGCGAGCGTAGGTGGCTTGTGCCAAAGTCATTTGTCAAGACTTGATGGATTGTCGAATTCCAAGTAGGCAGTCTTCGGACACGCCACGAGGTGACCAGAGCGGTCTCAAGTCGCCCGCCATAGGCGAGGTCCACCTAGGCGTTTCTAATGAGGTTTGGCTTCATCGGTTCACTTCCCCTCCATTTGGTTCCCCTTTTCATCCTTTTCCCCTTTGCAACACAGATGTTCTTCCTCTTTTCTTTCCTGAACTTCCTGTCTTCATGTTCTGTCATCTCATCCCTTTCCTTCTTTTTGAGCACACACGGCTCGGCCCTTAGTATGCACGTGCACGACCTACCTTCAACCCAGGTTTCCGGTCGCCCAGGTCTTTACATCGGTTGTCCCTGTGCACTTCACCCCCCTTTCATTGCAACAACTTACCCCTTTGTCACGTCCTGTCCCCATTGTCATGTCTTCATTCTGTTGTCTTTGCTGCGCGCACACATGCACATCCGTCCTGGCCTTAGCGCTTTTCGCCTCCCCTCGGGGAGGCGTGTGTGTGTGTGTGTGTGTAACCCTTGGAGTCACAGGGATCCTGAGGGATGTCTTTTTCTCTTGACCTTTTACAGTACATGCGGATATCACGGCTGATCACCGTGACGTACCTGCGATGGTTGAACTTTTGAACAAGCTGTGACTCCACTCTCCAATAAAGGTCTAAGGAGTTCTGCAGACATGAGCGCACGTCGTCAACCTGTCAGTTCGTCGCATCGTTGAGTTTGACTTCTGGCCTTTAACTACAGGTACTCAGGCCCCCTCGTCTTTTCAGGATTTGGTTTCCTTAGGTCGCCGGATGGCGAGCGGCATTCGAGTCAGTATGCATTTCTATAGGTGTGTGCGCATCGTCCCGTGAAACAACCCGCCACACCGTTTTGTGAATCAACATTTGGTTCCACGTTCCGAGATACTGCACCTGTCCTGCCATATTTGTCGCTCAATCCTCCAACGCACGGCTGAAGAAAAAAACCAACTGATGGGCTGATGACCTTGTTCTGCGGCTGATGTACGCGGCGAATGACGGCACCAGAATGATTAAGATGATTAAGACTTGGACCCAGCAAATGGCGATTAATGACTTGGGCACCTGGCAAAAATAACGCAAATCGTCAGACTATGCTGACGCGTTATCATTTGATTCCAGTGGGTTGCATCACATGTCGAAAAATTTTGACAGAAATTAGAGATCAAAAAACAAAGTCTTGCCTCCAGCTCCAAAAGCAATGGCATGAACAGTGGTTCACAAACCTCAGGGGCTCAAGTGAGTCAGGCGTGTCGGAATGCGCTGGATGTTCTTTTTGGCACGGCAGTTGTAGGTGACTCGGGTATGGTGGAGGCCCGAACTTTGGGGATTTCAATGTGGTCAATGTGGACAATCAGTAACTGGTCTCCGCTAAGAAGAGCATTCGGCCTTAACCTGAGGTATGTTCAACAGTCTGCAATTTGCGCGGTCGTGGCCTTGCCTTACCCCCTTCTTGCAAGGATAGGATTCCTGGAAGACGTGTGCTGCTTTGTGTTGGATCGTGATTGGTAAAGGGGGTTCCCCCTAGCTAAACGAATGGGTGGTCGTCCATAATAAACTAGTACCAAAACAAATCTGGATTCCTGGCAGATTTCCTTTTGCAACAAATCTATTGTTGATGATCAGGTGCCTTCCTGGTCTACTACCTTGAAAATTTGTTTAGGAGCAATGTTCACATAAAGGATTGCATTAGGAAGTGGTGGGTAGGGAAAGCTGTCAGTTTTGAAGAAAACCTAGAGAAACCTATACCAGCTAATGAATCATAATCATTGGCCTTAGGAGCTAAGTAAAAGAAGATTCCAAGAACAGATCTATTTTTTCCAGTGGAAAAACTGGAAAAAACATTTCTTATCTGCTTGCCTGGGAAGGGAGAAGGGGGTGCAGGTGGACGGGGTTCAGAAGGAATTCAAACCCTTATTAGGTGTCCAATATACAAAATTAGCACCCCCCCAAAAAATTAGCATCTTACATGACAATTTTTTCAAACATGGGGTCTGGAATAATTTTGGGAAATTAGCATTATTGAAGACCGATTTACTAATCAACATCCAACATTGCTGTGTAGCGAATGCAATTACAAACCAAAGATTTTAGGCTTAGAGTTTGGCGCCGGGCTTTGAAATTTACAGCGGGGTATGCTAGTAGGCTTGAAACTTAAGTGTGCATGTTGTGGTGAAAATGCATCCTTGCTCTTTCGTCGTTCTGCGCAAACATTGGGTTTTGCCAAAACAACTACTTCAACAGAAGTGGTTCAAAAAATTGTTGATGCAAGGCAACGATAAAAAATCAAGAAAAGGATCTGACACCAAATTATACAAGACTCGAACGCTTTCCTGAGGACCTTGCACTCCAGCCAAGTTCGGGCAGGGCTACTGATAGCCTGAGTGTTGGAGAGCAGCTGGATTATCAGTTTGCTTGAAGCCTTTGGCAAAAAATGTATATATTTTGGCCAACTATATATATATATATTTTTTTTCTCGATATATATATATATATGTGTGTGTATGATTATGTATGATTCACTGTATGATTCTTTGCCCACCAGCATGCCCAAGATCTTTCGAGGCTCTGCGCGGCAGCTTTTTCCAAAGTTGACGCAGCCCTCCTGGGAGAAAACCACGCCCCCCAAAAAGACCGCAAAACAAAATCAATAGAATAAGCTGCGGCGCGCAGAGGTTGTTCAGGTTGAAACCAACGGGCCTGGTTGAATCCGCACAAAGGGCCCCTGACAAGTCCATCGAGGCCATGGCGCTGTGTAAAGGCACCTTTCGAAGCCAACAGCAAAAAATCGGTTTGTTGAAACTAGCCCAGCAAACCATCGTACAGTCACCCTGCCGAACATTTCAAGTTGCAACCAGTGAGTAGTTCGATCCACTGTGCGCACTGCATCCTGGAGCCGTAGAAGCTGCAAGTCAACCCAAGTATATTATAACGATGAACTGAAACGGACGGCGCCTCATGCAAGATTCGCCCAGCTGCGCATGCAGAATTTCATGATACAGTTAACTCACCTGCGCACACATCGATTACATTTTTCTTT